GTAAATGGTCTGCATATAAGAGATGTAAAGAAATAGAGTGAGGAAATACTAATCCCAAATTTTAAACCTGCAAACAACTTTTACCCAATCATAACGGCCGCCATTGGCCAGATCCGGGGGCAAGAAGATAAATAGATACTTAACTGCACATATAATATTTTCCAATTCATTTATCTTGACAAGAGAGGGCAATTTACACTACGGCCGTTGTACTCTTGGGAACACGAATGGTAAGCAAGCCGTTCCAGAAAGACGCTCTAGCCTGCTTCATGTCAGCACGCGAGGGAAACTTAAACTTCCTTTGCTGGAAGACGTTGTCGCTGGTCTTAATGATGAGTTCCGGACCTATATTATCCACAATAACTTCCTCTCGCGACATGCCTGCACAGTCGCAAAGCCAAAAGCTATTGAGAAAGCGTGAAAGTTTTCATACCTGGAATTTCGACACGAAGGATGTGGTGATGCTCATCATCTACCGAAGTTGCCTTTATGGGTTTGTTCTTGGCTACAGCAGAAAAGTAAAACAGGAAATGAGTAGAGGCAACAAAAAAAAAAGAAAAAAAAAAGAGAGAAAAACACGATACTCTTGTCCAACTTGGTCTCGTCAAGGTCCTCAATTGGTAATGTCAGAGCTGTCCCTTCGAGCTCACCGTCCCCCTGAGGCTTAACGCTGGCTGAGTCCACAATCACTTCCTCTCGCAACAGGGCTGCACGGTCGCAAAGCCAAGAACTATTAAGAAAGTGTGAAAGTTTTCAGGGACATACCTGGAACTTCGTGGTGATGCTCGTCATCTACTTTATTCTTGGCTACAGAAGAAAAGAAACAGGAAATTAGAGGCAAAAAGAACAAAAAAAGATCCATACTCTTGTCTAGCTTGGTCTCGTCAAAGTCCTCAACTGGCAATGCCGGCACTGTCCCTTCGAGTACAGCGTCCCCCTTGGGAAGGCGAATGGTGAGAATCTCATCCTGGAGATTAACTATTGCACCGTCGACATTAGCGTAAGGAGGAACGGCAAGCCTCTCGGGGCGGAACACGTCCTTCTCCGTGGTAACAAGCACACCCGGTCCATCTTTTGCAACATTCACTTGCACTTGATTCAGCGACGTGAGACCTGCGCAAGAAAAAAAAGAGATGACAACGTCTCCATCCAAATGACTTACCAGGTACTTGCACATCGACAGTATAGAACTGCTGGTTCTCAAACGACGACCACAATAGCTTCCGCTCGTCATATCCTGCCAGACACAGAAAAAAGAATAAAAAACTCCGGGCAGGATCAACCATACCTTTATCAATGCTCTTGAGGCAGTTTAGCAGCAGCTGGTAAGCGTGTTTCTTCTCAAAGTTGTAGAGAGCGACGAGACCCCCGTGACGAGGGAACTCCGGCAGTCCCCCGGCATCAGCCACCTCCTGCGCCAACTCGAGGCTCCTGGCACACCTCGTCAAGTACTCCCTCCAGAAGATCTTTCTTGGAACAACCGGTGTAGCATATGATTCAGAGTGCTCCTGGATCAGAACGGAGAGGTTCGTGGACTGCAGACCAAAGAACTTGGGATAACACTCAGCGCCAAACAGACGCGCCTGCTCCTGCAGCTCGTGCACGTTTGGCTCCCCAGAGAAGACTTCCTTCTCGGCTCGGCAGGCAACAGTCCGGCAAAAGTCATGCACGAGGCGAGTTTCTTCCTTTGTGCGTTGATGGATGGGGGGCTCTCCATGCAAGCGGCACCTTGCATCCTCCGAGGCATTTTTCACAAGCTTGATCATGTG